ATGATGATGATGATGATGATGATGATGATGATGATGATGATGATGATAGCTAACATTTATATAGACTTACTATGTGCCAAGCACTGTGCCAAGTACTTTATAATTATTATCTTGTTTGATACAACTTCCCGGAAGGTAGCTACTAGTGGTATTTTCATTTTACAGATAAAGAACCAAGATAGATAGAGGTTAAGTGATTTGCCCAGGGTCATATAACTAGAAAGTGTCTGAGATTAGATTTGAATTCAAGTCTTCTTGACTCCAGGCCCAGCACTCTGTCCACTTCACCACCTAGCTTTGTGATATAAATGGTATTTATTCCTGTAAATGATGCAGAGGTCAAGAAGGATGAGGATTGAAATAAGACCATGAAATTGTCATTTGCATGGTCATTGGTAACCCTTGAAAAAGCAGTTTCAGTAAAGTAAAGAGGACAAAAGTTGCACCAGCTAAGAAAAAAAAATGGAATGGTAGCTGAATGGATGGAAAAGTTAAGGGAAAGCTTGTTTAGCGAAGGTGAGACCTATTTGTGAGAAAAAGAGGAGGCAGGGAAGAAGTAAGATTGAAGATGCATGGGGGAAAGGGGACCTTTACCAGAATGAGGTTTCAGGTTAGGTAGGGCAGGGGAGAAGGGGTCAAATAGAGGGGTTAGTCTTAGCCAGGAGCAAAAGAGCCCTTCTTGGTTTGGTTTTACCTTGTTTTGTTTGGTGACTGAACAGATTCTAAAAAGATACTTTGTGTGGGGAGAGAGAGGAAGTAAGAGGGAGGGGACTGCTCCCAGGAGGAACAGTCTCCATCTTTCCCTCGAATAAGAGTTATCTGGTCCACTGATCTCAGGATGGATTTCAGGAGGTTTGTGAAGTTGGATGGGAAAAGAAAATGACATCTTTATTTTCACTAACCTCTAAATGGAATTTATTATTTCCTTCAATTATTTAAGAACACTCCAAGAAGAGTTCCATGACTTCACCAGATTGCCAAAGGGATTCATGATACAAAAAAAAAAGGTGAGAACCTCTGATCTAGAAGAAGAAGCAGTGATAGCAATGGCCAAGAAACAGAGACTGTGAGAGACTAATAGGGGTCCAGGGAAAATCTCCCCTGAGACTACTTGCTGATGATCTGGAGAGGGCATCTGAGGAGAATGGCTGACCAGATGGAATCCAAGGAGTTGATCAGGTCAAGGCAACATACAGTAATTGATGAGACATCAGGGTCTTACATTCTCTTCTTTCTCCATCTCCTCTGACCCAAAGAAGAAAGTCAATTTTGTTTATCTGTCCACCATTCATTTCCAGCTTCTCTCTCTCTCTCTCTCTCTCTCACACACACACACACACACACACACACACACACACACACACACACACTCATTCACTTCACTTTTGATCTGTGAGACAATGATGGAGAAAAAAGCCAATTTTTGTCCTCTCTCAGTTGTAGCCCCAAGTAACCTGCATTTGAATGAGTAGTTTCCTTGATTGCTTATTTTTATTCTTTATTTTATTCAGATGTATTATAAAAACACTTGATGGTCATTAACCTTAGCTTGCTTGGTTATTGAATGTGTGTTGTCTGAGTGTGAAAGAGGAGGGGGGCCTATTCCTTAAAGGGGTAGGACAATTTTTTTTTCCTTCAGCAAAGCTGAGATTGGAAACCATTAATAGCCAATTAAAGGGAGGACATCTATGCAATTTACTAGGGATTCTTGGAACCCTAGATTTATTTCTTTTATGAGCCCAGTGGGGTGGGGGGAGAAAAAGAGGGGTGAGTGGAAGAGGAGTTAGCCAAGAAAAGCATATTTGCTGTGAAGAGAAACCAGCCACTTTTAACTCAACGGTACCTTGGGGGTTGGTCAGCTTTGCAGCTGGAAGTACTTAGCTTGATAGTCAAGTCTAGGGAGAGGTGAAGTGATTTTGCTCACGTGAGTTCTGGTGAGTTTGTTGGCCAGACTATTGGTCTGCCAACTGTCAGTGTTGTGGTGCTAGAGAATTTCTGGTCTCAGTTGTACTCCCCACTCCATGTGGTTAGAAAAATAATCATCATTTTTTAATTGAACTGAATCAAGATTAGATTTTTCTCTTTCACATGGACAGCTAATTGACAAAGTAAACAATGGTGCTACTAGATGGAATAAACACTCTATTCAGCAATGATTTAGTGCCTAGTAACACAACTGGATAGGGTGGATTGTGGGTAACCCAGGACTGAGGATTGACTGGGAAGATGACCAAAGGAGCTGGGGATTCTAGCATGCTAAAGAAGGAACTGTTACAAAGGGGTTCAGACAGGGTAAGGACGCAAGTAAAGCCTTAAGGTGGCTATTGACCCAACAGATAAAAGAGAAGACTAGGACGTGTAACCTGGTTCTACAGCGAGCTACTTTGGACTACTACCTGCTCCTCTCAAGGCTTGTAACAGAGGAGCTCAGCTCCAGGCAGATTCACACTGACTGGATTCAGGCCAATGGAAGAAAGATAGTGGAGCTGTAGATAAGGAGTTCATACCACTTTATTCTCTCAGCAGCAGGTCAAGACAAGGAGCGGGAGCATCTGCTCCTACTGACCAGTGCTAATTTGACATATAGAGAAACACACAAAGGAGGCAGCATACTAATAATGAGTTCATGAGTTTACATTATCTTTGGTTATATAAGGATGTGTCAGCAAGGCACAAGTGCAATGTTGGTGTTTATGGGCCATGGATCCTGGC